TACGGCAAAGTACGGCAAAGTACGGCAAAGTACGGGAAAGCACGGCAAAGCAATAGCAAAGTACGGGAAAGCACGGGAAAGCACAGTAAAGTACAGCAAAGTACAGCAAAGTATGGGGAAGCACGGCAAAGTACGGCAAAGTACGGGAAAGCACGGCAAAGCAATAGCAAAGTACGGGAAAGTACGGGAAAGCACGGGAAAGCACAGTAAAGTACAGCAAAGTACAGCAAAGTACGGGGAAGCACAGCAAAGTACGGCAAGGTACGGGAAAGCACGGCAAAGCAATAGCAAAGTACGGGAAAGTACGGGAAAGCACAGCAAAGTACGGCAAGGTACGGGAAAGCACGGCAAAGCAATAGCAAAGTACGGGAAAGTACGGGAAAGCACGGGAAAGCACAGTAAAGTACAGCAAAGTACAGCAAAGTACGGGAAAGCACGGCAAAGTACGGCAAAGTACGGGAAAGCACAGCAAAGTACGGCAAGGTACGGGAAAGCAAGGCAAAGTACGGCAAAGTACGGCAAAGCACGGCAAAGTACGGCAAAGTACGACAAAGCAATGGCTAAAGCAATGTTTCAGATATTGTTAAGATTTGGTTCAAATTTGGTTCAGATTTGTTTGAGATCTGGTTCAGATTTGGTTCAGATTTGTTTCAGATCTGGTTCAGATCTCTAAAGCATACCCTATTCCTCCCAAATCTCCTTGCTATAACTGATCTAGATTCTAGACTTCGGAAAACAAAACAAAACTTAACCAAAACCAAAACTACCAAAACCAAAACCAAACCAAAACCAAAACCAAAACCAAAACCAAAACCAAAACTAACCAAAACTTGCCAATATCTCGCGACTGGGAGGAGCTAGCGAAAATCTGTTTGCAGATTTGAAATCAGCATCCAAAAATCTATCCCATAGGCTATTTTTTGTTTCGAAATTTCGAGGTCGTGTTTCGGTCCTTTTTTCGGCCGCGAGATTTTGTGGAGTGAGAAAAAGTGAAAGGCAAATTTGCATTTTACAATTTTAAATTTACATGTTAATTTATATGCAAATTGAGTGTTGGTTTTGGTCTGTTTTGGTTTTGTTTGCCGAAGTCTACTAGATTCTACACTCCTGTCTCTAAAAGCAAGCTACAGTACTCTTCAAGTAATTTTTAAGACTACGGTAGCTGGAGGAAACTACTTAGGCTACTCTAATACCATAGTAGCTTGAGTTACGGCTTTGTAACAAGATTACGGTAGGCTAATCATCCTTTAAAGTACGACAAGCGTACTATAGCCGCTCAAAAGCTGTGCACAAACCCTTCTTAGCCCACGCAATTACTCGATTTCTCAACGATTTCAACAATCATTCTTGATTCAAATAAATTTCTAAACAGTTTTAAACAGATTCTCTCATTTCCCCACAAAAAAAACAACAAAAATTCCAATGTTTATAGGCGTTTTTCTCGCGATCAGATCACATTTTTCTTTTTCTTTCTTTTCGAGAAAATTTGAGAGCCAAGAAAATTTCGCTTGCAAAATCTTTTTGAAAGAAATTTTCGCCGGAAAACGATGCGATGACGATCCGTTTATCAAAAGAAAAATATGGGATAGGAAAGCGGAAAAAAAAAAAGATCGGAAAAGGAGATAAATTCGTGGAATTTTTTTGCCCCGTTTATGTCCATTTTATCATCGCGAATGAATCGAAGAATTATGGGTTTTGGAAAAAGTTACTTCAAATTCATAATTCATAACAAAGAACGGAAAAAGAAGTAAGCTACGGATGTGCTATTTGATTAGCAAATATGCAAGTTATGGTAAAGTTATGGTAAAGTTTCAAAGGATTCAAATTCTCTGAAATTTTCAACCATAAATGCCACATTGCCATCGGCGCGAAAATGCGTTTTCTATAGGATTTTTCTGGAAGTACCTTTTTTAGATGCGGAAAATTGTGCTAATTCCGAATCTGAAGGAATTTTCCAAATCCATCTGACAGAAATCTTTTAAATTGAGTTTTAGCGGTTTTTTGGTCATTTTGTATGGGAAATTTTGTGGTACCCTGCAGTTTGAAGCTCGTAACTCGACAGCGATGGTCTAGAACCAAAAACGAGTGGATAAGTTTTATTCTAGAGACTCTTACGAACATTTTGATGCAAAAATCATCAAATTTGCTCAACTCTACAAAAAGTTATCACATTTTTTAAAAAAGAAATGAGAAAATTAAAAAAATTCTCTATTGCACAATTGTTTTGTTCAAAAAAACAATGTAGCTAATTGTATGGTAGCTAATTGTCAAATTTGATGATGCTATGTATCGTATTCACTCAAAACAATTAAGGAATATGCAAAATCGAAGCTCAAGTGCGCGGGAGAGCCGAAGCCGAAGCCGAAGCCGAAGCCGAAGCCGAAGCCGAAGCCGAAGCCGAAGCCGAAGCCGAAGCCGAAGCCGAAGCCGAAGCCGAAGCTTTTAAGGGGGCATCCCTACGATACCCCATACCCCATGAAAAGGATACTACCTGGGAAGCTATGGGGTATCTAGGATACTCCATTAAAAGGTATGAGAGATCCCTAGGATACCCCATTAAATGCATAGCCCATTAAATCGCTACAAATTTGGTTCCTTATCTCTCTAAATTTGGTTCCTTATCTCTACAAATTACAGGAAAAGGTTTGGGGTATCGCTAGGATACCCCATACTTTTGCGCGGGATTCACGTCGCGCGTTTTAGACCACTCGGCCACGGCTTCCTCTTAGTGTTTTAGAGTATTTTTGCAAAATTTCTTTAAAGATGTTATAACTTTTTGTAGAGTTGAGCAAATTCGATGATTTTTGCATCAAAATGTTCGCGAGCGTCTCTAGAATAAAAATTATTACCTCGTTTTTTGTTCTAGACCCTCGTTGTCGAGTTACGAGCTTTGAGTGAATACGATACATAGCATCATCAAATTTGACAATTAGCTACCATACAATTAGCTACATTGTTTTTTTGAACAAAACAATTGTGCAATAGAGAATTTTTTTAATTTTCTCATTTCTTTTTTAAAAAATGTGATAACTTTTTGTAGAGTTGAGCAAATTTGATGATTTTTGCATCAAAATGTTCGTAAGAGTCTCTAGAATAAAACTTATCCACTCGTTTTTGGTTCTAGACCCTCGTTGTCGAGTTACGAGCTTCAAACTGCAGGGTACCACAAAATTTCCCATACAAAATGACCAAAAAACCGCTAAAACTCAATTTAAAAGATTTTTGTCAGAGGGATTTGAAAAATTCCTTAGGTACATGCATAAGAAACGCGGATTCCCTTCAAATATAAAGATATCCGGCCTTTGAACTGTTTGGAGGCAATTTCCCTTCAAATATAAAGATATTCAGCTGTTTTAATTGATTTCGTGGCAAATTCCCTTCAAATATTCAATTTACTCGACGTGTAAAGAGTCATTACTCGTAGTCATTCGACGAAAACGTCGATTAATCGCGTAGAACTACTCATTCGGATTTTACTCGAGCCATTACTTAATCACAAGGAACACTCTCCATTCACAAGATCAATGAGCAAATAACTTTGAGACTGTTCTCGAATTTCTCAGCATTCAAAATGTGACCAATGTTCTGCATAAGTTCTTTCGTTTTCCCTGAGGCTTCCTCATTCCAAATGTGCGGCTGTTTTCAAAAAGAGAAAGGGGAAAGGAAAAAGAAAAAAAAAAGGCTGAAAGGCAGGGTATTTCAATCGATTTTCACCTATGAAACTCTAAGATCAAGCAAAGAGAAAAGAGAAAAAGCTGAAAAAAAGAGCTGAATGGGTGTATCTCATGTGAGAGACGGAGCTTTGGCAGAGGTTTTTTTTTTGGCTCTGAGAGTGGGTCTCAGGGTAGGTTCTTGTACCGAAAAAAGGATAAAAAAACATAAATTCCTTTCTTCTTTGCTCATTTCACTTGCAAAGACATCAAAAAACGGCTTTTCGTTTTTGGGAGTGACAGGATTCAGAAATTTCACTTACATATGCAAATTGATTTGATTCAACAAAAACTATCCGAAAATATCTGGATCCGAACCTGGATCGGAATCTGAATCTGGATCTGGATCTGAATCTGGATCGGAATCTGGATCTGGATCTGAATCTGGATCTGGATACGAATCTGGATTCGAATCTGGATCTGAATCCGGATTCGAATCTGGATTTAGATCCGAATCTGGATCCGAACTGGATCTGAATCTGTATCTGAATCTGTATCTGAATCTGGATCTAGATCCGAATCTGGATCCGAATCTGGATCGGAATCTGGACCTGAATCTGGATCCGAAGCTGGATCTAGATCGAAATCTGGATCCGAATCTGGATTCGAATCTGGTTTCGGATCCGGATCGGCATCTGGATCCGAACCTGGATCGGAATCTGTATCTGAATTTGGATCCGAATCTGGATCAGAATCGGGATCGGAATCTGGATCCGAAACTGGATCCGAATCTGGATCTAGCTCCAAATCTGGATCCAGATTCTGGATCCGAAGCTGGATCGGAATCTGTATTTGAATCCGGATTCGAATCTGGATCCGAACCTGGATACGAATCTGGACCTAGATCCCAATCTGGATCCGAATCTGGATTCGAATCTGGTTCCGAACGCGGATCGGTATCTGGATCTGAATCTGAATCCGAATCTGGATTCGAATCTGGTTCCGAATGCGGATCGGTATCCGGATCTGAATCTGAATCCGAATCCGGATTCGAATCTGGTTCCGAGCCTGGATCCGAAGCTAGCATGAAAACAAATCTAATATATAAATAAATCTCTAAATTTCTAAAGTTTAATAATAACGCAGAAGTCAATTAAAACAATAGAAGAAAGGAGAAATTTTGAATTTTTAAAATGAAATTTTAAAGCCACTACACCAAAAAAGTGCATAGTTAGTTTGCATTTAAAAGAGTTTTTTAAATAAAAGAATCCACAAAATCTAAAAAAATACACATCAAACCACCAGAATTTTCAGGATTTAAAGGCGGGCCGCCACCGCGACAAGCTGGAGATGATTCGGAACTCGTTGCGGCCTTTTGAGGTAAAATCAAATCGTCAAAACCGTTAGAAATTGTCAAAACTGTTAGAGAAACGACTGTTTCGATTGTTTGTTATTATTATATTGTTATATTCTCGAAAATTTATAGCCTGACTTAGTGTGGATTAGACAGGACTGGTTAAACAGAACTGGTTTTGATCTAACTTGGGTTGACTCGAGGAAATCGAGTTTAGAGCTTGTGCAATCTTTGATAATCTCAAAAGCTTTAGCAATAAAGATATTCAGTCAATGAGTCAATGTAGTTCAAATCTAGTTCAAATCTATTTCAATTTCGATTTCAATTTCGATTTCTAGATCTTTCAATTTCAGAGTCAAGTCCCAGAACCACCGCCACCGCCAGTTATCCCACTATCAGCCGATCAACAACTACAAATGATCAATTTATTAGTACAAGCCGGTCATGAACGGGTTTGTTTTTAAGGGATTACAAAGAAATCTGTTTTTTTTATGTAAATCAAAGAGTTTTGATTTCAGGAACAAGCGTTTCTTGCGTTGAAACTCGTCAACTTCAAGAGTGTCACAGCTGCCGGGGAAATCCTCAACAATATCAACAAGGATCCAAGAGTGGCTATGAATGTGAGTTAAATTTCCTCGTAATTCTTCAAGTCAATAGATTTGGCTCTAGAGCCATCAGATTTGGCCTGGCATCAGAGCTGGTTATTTACAGATCAAGTTTGACTACTCAACAGCTAGACTTGGATCGGAGGTGTTGGCTATTTAGCTGGCTTAGCTGGCTTAGCTGGTTACTTAGCTGGCTATTTAGCTGGCTATTTAGCTGGCTATCTAGCTGGCTCTCTAGCTGGCTATCTAGCTGGCTATCTAGCTGGCTATCTAGCTGGCTCTCTAGCTGGCTATCTAGCTGGCTCTCTAGCTGGCTATCTAGCTGGCTATCTAGCTGGCTATCTAGCTGGCTATCTAGCTGGCTCTCTAGCTGGCTATCTAGCTGGCTATCTAGCTGGCTATCTAAACCAAACTAGAGTCTAGATTAGGTTATTGAAATTCTTCAAATTCTTCATTCTTCAAATAATTCTTCAAATATCTGATCGATTTTAGGATCAACGCTTGAACGGCTTGAATGGTCTCTTCTTTGCACCAAGCTCATCGATGATCTCATCAATTCAATCGACGAGCGGTTACGGGAGTCGAACGACCTCGCAAACTCTCACATCGTCTCTTCATCCATATCCATATCCAAGCACGAGTCAATTTGATGACAAGTGAGTTGAGGAAACGATTGTGGAAACGCAACCTTTCTAATGCACTGAACTTTCTTTGTCTCTTTCGTGTTCAGCTCTTGAAAGGATTGAAAGGATTAGGAGGATTGAAATGATTGGAAAGGGTGTGCTTAGTTTTTGGGCACATGCTTGCTAAGCTAAGTACAAGATAAGTAAGCTTGTAAGGGAAGTAGTAAGGGAAGTGTCTTCCCTAGCTAAGTAAGCTAGGGAAGACAAGGCCAGAGCCTGGTTCAGGGTTTTTAAGCCTATGCCAGGCAAGGCAAGGTCACTAGCCAGGTTTCTTTCTTTCGTTCTTTCTTTCTTTCTTTCTTCCTTCCCTTCCTTCCTTCCTTCCTTCCTTCCTTCCTTTCTTCCTTCTTCCCCTTGTCTTTTCCTCCTTCTCTTGGCAAGTTAAGGTATAGTGGTTAGAGCAAAAGCAAAAGGGAAATAAAAGAAAAGATCGAAGGTTCAATCCCCTCTCCAGCAATCTTCTTTTCTTCTTTCATTTCTTTATTATTAAGCGATTCCCCTCGATCAGCCTCTCCATCGGGTCCATCACTTCCATCCACTCAACCACCACCACTTCCCCAATCACAAGTGCGATCTCCATCCCCGAATCGACACCATATGAATTTAACGCCCGTTCAACAACAAGACTACCATCGATCACATGCGCACATTCAACTGTGAGTGGCTTTACTTGAGTGGCAACAGTACTTTGAGTGGCAACGTACTGTTCAACAGTACGTTAAACTGTCTAACAGTATGTTAAACTGTCTAACAGTACTTTAAACAGTACTTTAAACTGTTCAACCATACTTTAAACTGTTTAACCGTACTTTAAACTGTTTAACAGTACTTTAAACTGTCCAACAGTACTTTAAACTGTTCAACAGTACTTTAATCTGTCCAACAGTACTTTAAACTGTTCAACAGTACTTTAAACTGTTTAACAGTACTTTAAACAGTACTTTAAACTGTTCAAAAGTACTTTAAACTCTTCAACAGTACTTTAAACCGTCCAAAAGTACTTTAAACTGTTTAACAGTACTTTAAACTGTTCAAAAGTACTTTAAACTCTTCAACAGTACTTTAAACAGTTTAACAGTACTTTAAACTGTTTAACAGTACTTTAAACTCTTCAACTTTCAGCCGACAATCATATCCGGGCGAAGAAGCGCTGAGGACGACTCGTTCACCCCAACAAACCCCACCGATCGGTCATAAAGCGTTTGGTGGAACGACGATTGTCATTGAGAAAGATCTACGATCTCATGATTCACGGTAAGAGATTTATTGATGTTAATTTAATGTTTTCTCTGTATTCAGGCAACGAACGGGTATGGGAAACGGGATTCCGAGACGACTTCCGCCTACAGAAGCGATTCCCGTGATTAAGGTCTGTTATTGTAAATGTTTTCTCAATAAAAGCTAGACTTACAAGTCGATAAAAGACTTTCTCATCATTTTTATATAAAAATTTCTAGACTACGCTTAGTCGACCGCCTCCAGGCACAACAAAAGTCAATATCAATGTGGAGCCATCGAATTTGGTCAGTAATAACCATTTTATAATGAAATTTTCTTCTTTATAAAGGCTAAAAACGAAACTAATGTGAAGAGCTAGATGTTGATTTTACTGTTTTATATTCAGGAATCCTCGAGAAGAGCTGCTTTTCGTCTTGACGTTATTTCGGCTGAAGGATGCAGCACGGTGGCTGGAGTGCCCGGTGGAATGACTGGTGAGTAATGAGGTTTCTAAATGGTGAATCTAAAAGGTAATTTGGATAGTTTTCCTAATCTTTCATCAGATTTTAATCCCATTCGACGAGGGATTCAATTTTGAATTGAATTCTATCAGAGAACGAAGAAAATACCCGTCCTAGTCCGTTCGAGGCTCGTATTTCTGTTATTTGGAAGAAGAAAACGATTATTCTCTTTTTTAAACGAAAATCCATATCATTTTCTATATATATTCAAGATTTCACGACCATAGAATCAATAGATAATTTTTTATGAACACTCAAAAATGGTTGGTCAAAAAATAACGACTAACCATTTTTGAGTGTTCATAAAAAATTATCTATTGATTCTATGGACATGAAATTTTGAATATATATAGAAAACGATATGTATTTTCGTTTAAAAAAGAGATTAATCGTTTTCGTCTTTCAAATAACAGAAATATGAGCCTATAAAAACAAAGGAGGGGTTATTTTTGGTCATTCTGTTTTCGTAGAACGGAGAAAATCTGAAAGAAAGGATTATGATAGATTTCCAGCTCTAATAGTATGCTAACTAGCATAAAAATCTAATAAATAGTACAGTACATAGTACAGTACGATTGTACTAAACGATTAGCTCATTTTAGGCGTTCAAAACATTCTCGTGGATCCGGATAAACGAGAGCTTTCGTCGGCTTATGTCAACTACGTGGACAAGGTGAGTTTTGGGGAATTTTAAAGAGAAAAGAAGATATTCATCTGTGTTACTATAGCGTAATTCTTGAAATTATCTTATTCAGCTATTGCACCGGCAAACAAGAATCGATTCAAGCACCGTTGTCCCTTCAAATGACTCATTGATGCTGAGAATGGGGAGGATATCGCCAAATCAACATCAATCAATTCCTGGAACATCAAGAGACACACACGGAGTACCGGAAACGAGGTGGAAAAGAATTCTGAAAAAAAAATCTGCAAATTGCAAAAGATTTTGCCGCCAGCAGGGGTCGAACCTGCGACCTTTGGCTTATTAGACCAATGCTCTAACCGACTGAGCTATGGCGGCTGTGTTTTCAAGGGGAAATTTATCACTTTTACCTTAAAGTTGTCAATTTTGAGAGTAGATCTGGAACACTGAAAATGAAGCTAAAGTGGGGTAAAATATGTTTGCTTAGCTTGCCAATGGCAAAAGGAGCGGGGCAAAAGGCAAAATGGACAGCTTTTTATACGCGCTCCGCCTCTTTGCCATTGCTGACTTTCAGCTTCAATTTCTTGGTGCTGGACTGTCCAATTTAAACAGTTTTTATACAAATCGATAGAGAAAGCCCTAGCGCATCTAATGATATCAAGAATATTGAAATTGGACAGTCGAACACCGAGAAATTGAAGCTCAAAGTTAGATTGCCAATGGCAAAACTTTGAACTCGAACATCTTGGTGCTCGGACTGTTCAATTGAAATAGTTTTTATACAAATCGATAGGGAAAGACTTGACGTATCTAATGATATCAAGAATACTGAAATTGGACAACCCAGTGCTGAGATATTTGAGCTTTGCCATTGGTGACTTTTCGCTCAAATTTCTCGGTGTCCGGCTGTTCAATTGAAATAGTTTTTATATCAATCGATAGAGAAAGACTTGGCGCATCTAGCTATAAGCATACCTCGAGGTTTCTTATAATTCAAAATTCTTTTTCTTATAATTCAAAATTTCAGCTCTTCATCAGCAAACGTTCGCTCGATTTCCCCACTTCCGCCAAGCGTTGAGCAGAGGAGAAAAGTGAGTTTTGCCTTTTGCATTAAGTGATGCATCTAATGCAGTTTAAATGTAGATTAAGGATTTCATTTAAAATCTGTAGACAAACACCTTCGAATCGGTGGTGAAGCCGATAAAACCGAAACTCTATCGTTTCTTTATGGAGCAACATATTGAGCGAGTCGTGCAAGCGCATCGTGAGCGAATGAGACGAACGCAGCAGGTAAAAGACTTTTGCACTGAAAATCAGGGAAATTGGGATAAAAATGCTTAGATGCTTAGATTTTGCTGTTTTGCTTAGATTGCTAATGGCAAAAGGAGCGGGGCAAAAGACAAAATGAACAGCTTTTTATACGCGCTCTGCCCCTTTGCCATTGCTGACTTTCAGCTTCAATTTCTTGGTGCTGGACTGTCCAATTTAAACAGTTTTTATACAAATCGATAGAGAAGGCCCTAGCGCATCTAATGATATCAAGAATACTGAAATTGGACAGTCGAACACCGAGAAATTGAAGCTCAAAGTTAGATTGCCAATGGCAAAACTTTGAACTCGAATATCTTGGTGCTGGACTATCCAATTGAAATAGTTTTTATACAAATCGATAGAGAAAGACTTGACGCATCTAATGATATCAAGAATACTGAAATTGGACAACCCAGTGCTGAGATATTTGAGCTCAAAGTTAGAGCTCAAGCAGTTAGAGCAGTAGCAGTTAGAGCTAGAGTTAGCCTATCCAGTTTTTAGGCTGATAAACCCATCTGTCTTAGGCGGTCTTGACCGGTCTTGGCCGGAGATTAATCTTGTTTCCAATCACTAGAATCCATTTTAAACTTCTCAGCTTTGTTCCCTCAACTCTACCACTTTTCAGTTAACGAAAGAGATGGAAGCCGCCAATTTGCCCGAGGTGATGAAAGAAAATATGCTCAAATTCTTGACGCAAAAAGAAAATCGGTAAATAAAGTTTTGGAATTTTCAAGTATTCAATCAATTTTTAGATATATGCGATTAAAACGGCAAAAAATGAATAAAGAAATGTTCAAGATGATCAAACATATTGGAGTGGGAGCATTTGGAAGGGTGACACTCGTGAAAAAGGTTTGAAAAGAGTTGAAAAGGGGAAATCTATTGAAATTTATTGAAAATATTCAAATTTAGATGGAAAACAGTTAGAAAACTGGTTAGAAAACATAAATAGAGTGAAAACTTGAATATAAAACATCGAAATCTTTAGAAAGACACCGATCAAGTGTACGCGATGAAGAGCCTGCTGAAGAATGATGTCATTTTGAAGCAACAGGTAGAGCTTTGGCTGATGGTTGGATAAGCGAACTTGAAAGCGAATCTAGACTATAATCTAGACTATAATCTAGACTATAATCGACATATCTGACAAATCTAGACATAACAGACATATAAGACTATAATCTAGACACAGACTATAATCTAGACTAAATCGACTATAGCACTAGACTATAATCTAGACTATAATCTAGACTATATCTAGCTAATTAGCTGCTTTGCTATAATCTAGACTATAATCTAGACTATAATCTAGACTATAATCTAGACTATAATCTAGACTATAATCTAGACTATAATCTAGACTATAATCTAGACTATAATCTAGACTATAATCTAGACTATAATCTAGACTATAATCTAGACTATAATCTAGACTATAACCCAGACTATAACCCAGACTATAACCCAGTAAGACTTGTGATAGATCGCTTGGGTATTTCCGCGTAGTCACTACTTCAAACCCGTTCTTCTTAATGTTGTTAGCTTATCGTGGCTTTTGAATACCCTATCTGATGCAGTTTTTCACGCTGATTCCGAATCTGCAATCAGTTTTTGTCAAACGCTTCTCTATCGCGAGATATTTGGCATATAAGCTTTTGGGGTCTCTTTATAAGCTCAGCTGATGGTCAGCTGGGTCTCAGCTGATGGAACACTTGAACCAAAGCTTTTTGTTCCCAAAGCCTTAGCGGGTAAGCAAACAGGGATGGGTTTGGCTTTTAAAAAAATAGAAGTTTAAATACGTAAGACTGGTAAGAAGACGCGGCAATTCTTCTATTCTAGAGTCATTCTAGGGACTATGTTATGATTTTTCTTCTTCCAGGCTTCTCACGTTAAAGCCGAGCGGGACATTTTGGCTGAAGCAAACAGCCCGTGGATCGTCAAATTGTTCTTTTCGTTTCAAGATGAGAGGTTTGAATCAAAGCATCGCTCAAGATCAAGAAAGAGCAAGATCAAGATCAAGCCATAGACAATTCGACGCAGAATTTCCCTCTGATTCCGAATCTGCTTTCCGTTTTTGCCATGGAGCACTCTGTCAAAAGTTATACGCGTTTAAAGTTTCAGCAGTTCCCAAACCGCGACATTACAACCTAGTCTTCCGCGAGTTTAGCAGTGGTAGTGTCTCGGCTCGGCCCCAGTCCAGTGGGAGCGGTGGCCGAGTGGTAGTGTGTTAGGACGAGACCCAAGTCAAGGGCCCTTGCTAAGACCCAAGTCAAGGGCTCTCGAGGGACATTGACTTGGGCCCTCTTCGAGTCCGCTAGCTGTTTGTTGTTTAATGCTTTGAGCAGTCTCCCTTTTAGAGAAGTTTTGTTTAGCTATTTCTTTGACTGGTTGAATGAATTGCCCCTTGATGGAGTCAAGGAGCTATAGAGAAAACAAAAGGCATTAAAACTTACAAAACTTTACAAAGAACAAAGAAAGAAAACTCTTTACAATCGGCTAGCGGACTCGAACCAGAGGGCCCTCGGCTAGGGTTCTAGTCTGGCATCGTAGCCCACTACCACTCGGCCACCGATGCAAATGCTCGCCTGGCGGAAAACAGGGCTCTAATGTCGCGGCTTAATTTTTGAAACTCTTTACAAAATTTAAAAAATAGCTAGATATCAGAATTTCCATCGTATAGTGATTTGAGACTAGGTTTATCGATCGAAAAAGAGGGCATCATGGCCAAGTGGCTAAGAGCCCTGTATCTCAATCGGGCGTTAGTCGGGAGGGCAAGGGTTCGATCCCGCCGGCTAGATTTTTGGCTAGATTTTTTGCTAGATATTGGTTCTTTTTCCCGAGTTTTTCCCTACAGGGCTTCAGGGCCCTACAGGGCTTTAAGGCCCTACAGGGCTTTAGGGTTTATTTAGCGTTGTGCTTGTGTATTGTTTGTATTAAATTATTCATGTGAATAGATGCATTCTTTTAGATGCCTCTATTTCATTATGGAATACGTGCCCGGTGGTGACATGATGCAACTCTTGATCAACAAAGAGATCTTCTCCGAGAGTTTAGCGAAGTGAGGATTAGCAATAGATTGCAATAGATTAGAATCTCTAATTGTTGAAGATATCTAATCAAATGGTTTACTGTAGATTCTACATTGCCGAGTTGACATGCGCCATCGAGTACGTTCACTCGTTAAAGTTCATTCATCGAGATATCAAGGTGGGGTTTTCTTTGATTAAAAACTATAATATTTAAATGATAATCTATTGGGTTGTCCAGTTATGAATGCGCGTTTTTTTACGATTTTGTAAATTTCTCAAGATATCGAACAGATGTATACAAGTGTTATATACCATTCGAAAGCTGAAGATCTCCTCTACATTTTGATATAAAAAGCTTTTGAATTTGTTCAGCTTTTGAGCAAATTGGCTGCACAGAAGAATAGGTGGCCAAAAAATGGAAGGGTGCCTTTGGATCAAGTTTTGGCTCGGCTCAAATTGAGTTAACCGTTTGATGTTTGGCCAATAGATATATCAATACAACTTTTTTTTAAAATATAACAATTTCAGAGCATCTTTACTTTTCTTTTCTTTTCTGGGTGGTCATTTTACACCATAAAACTTGAGGAGAAGCTAGGACGGAATGGGGTTTTTTTTTTTGAAAACGACCTCTCCCTTTGTGCAGTCAATTTCCCAAAAAGTTGAATGGATTCAAAAACTTTTTTTATTCCAAAATGTAGAGGAGATCTTCAGCTTTCGAATGATATGTTATATATCATTCGAAAGCTGACGATCAAAAAGACGTCTCGGCATCGAAGAGACAAGGTCATGGAGCGCTGTTGGCTGAAGCCGATTCCAGGCTACTTGAATGGCTTTCTTGAGTTCACTCACGCTCGAATATTGCTTGTTTCCCTTGTAGACATCTCATAAATTTCTTTTTCTTCATCTTCATTTCGGTATCTTGAGAAATTTACAAAATAGTAAAAGCGCGTATTCATAACTGGACAACCCAATATCTAAATGGCCTTCTAATTCTAAATGCTAATCAATTCTAATTCCAATGCTAATCTATTCTAATGATAATCTCTTCTAATTCCTCTATTTAGCCGGATAACATCTTGATCGATCGAGATGGGCACATTAAATTGACGGATTTCGGGCTATGTACTGGACTACGGTGGACACACGACAGAAAGTACGGTGGATTGAGATCTTAATTGTGATATCTTAATATATCTTAATATATCTTAATTCTGATAGGTTAATAAGTTCAATTTTCATAGGCTAACACAGAATTCTTGAATTCAGAACACAGATTTAATAGCCTAACACAGAATTCTTGAAAATGAAACAGTTTTTTTTAGATACTATGGTCCGGACAACGAGGATTACCCGGGTGCTCACAATCGAAACGATTCTCTATCTTTACCCGATGGTGTCAATCATATCGCGAAACAGATGAAAGTGTGTTTCGAATTTGAAATAATTGAGAGATGCTTTAAAAATCTATCAACTCTCGGCAATTTATCTAGGTGCTCGATGTACGACACCAACGCCAAAGCCAACGAAATCAGGCACTTTCAGTGGTTGGCACTGGGAATTACATGGCACCTGAAGTGATAAGGAAAACTGGTGAGTGTTAAAATTGTAAACAGTACAGTCGAGGAAGATCTTGAGCTCTGGCTGGGTTCAGGGCTGGGTCCAGGACTGGATCCAGGGCTGGTTCAGGGCTGGGTTCAGAGCTGGGTTTAGGGCTGGATCAAGGGTTGGGTCCAGAGCTGGGTTTAGGGCTGGATCAAGGGTTGGGTGGTCCAGAGCTGGGTCCAGGGCTGGATCCAGAGCTGGGTTCAGGGTTAGGTCCAGGGTTGGGTCCAGGGTTGGGTCCAGGACTGGATCCAGGGCTAGATCCAGAGCTGGATCCAGAGCTGGGTTCAGGGTTAGGTCCAGGGCTGGGTCCAGGGTTGGGTTCAGGGCTGGGTCCAGGGCTGGATTCAGGGTTGGGTTTAGGGCCGGGTTTAGGGCTGGGTCCAGAGGTTTTCAGTTTCACTCTAGGGTTTTCGGGGTCGGTGAATCGATTGGCGGGCTTCATTTTACTGTATTCTATCTAGCAATTGCTGATTCTGGGCTAGAACTGCAGAGAAGCCGGGTGAGGCAGAGCCAAAGGCCAGCCTAATCTACCCTGACCCTAGCCTGCTTTGCCTAGCTCTGCAAAAACGCAAAAAAACCTAGCGCTTGCCTACTTCTCTAGCCAACAGGCACAGAGGTGATCTCAAAATTCTTCTAGGCCATACACAACTCTGCGATTGGTGGTCGGTGGGCGTGATTCTGTACGAGATGGTGATCGGTCGACCACCGTTTATGTCGATGAAAGACGATCCAATGGAGACACAGCAAAAGGTAAGTTTTCATATAAAACCTATATAAAACCATTAAAGCAACAGGAAATCGAAAAAAAAATCAGATTAATCCCATTCAGATTAATCAATGGCATCGTTTTTTGGATCTCTCATGTACACAACATCTTTCAAGGGATTGCGTTTCGATGATTGAGTGAGTTTTGTGGAAAAGAAGCTAATCTATAAGCTATAATCTTATCTATTATTTATCTAAAGCTATCTAAAGCTATCTAAAGCTAATCTAAAGTCTATAATCTGATTGGTTTGATGGAGATGACTTAGCACGTTCTTTTACAAGGTTACAAAGGTACAAGATACAAGATGTTTTACAAATTTCCTACAAGGGCACAAGGGATTCTAGTGTTCAGCTAATATTGAACTATTGAGTTCAGCTAATATGTAGAATCAGCTCCACTACGGACATGTACTGGTTAACTACTGGTTAACTTTCGTTCTGGGGGTGAATCTTCGAAAACAAAGGGACGAGCCGTTAGCAGCCATTCTGTAGCCGTCAGCAGCCATTCAGTAGTCGTCAGCAGCTTCAGTACTCGTCAGCAGCTTCAGTAGTCGTCAGCAGCCATTCAGTAGCCGTCAGCAGCCATTCAGTAGTCGTCAGCAGCCATTCAGTAGTCGTCAGCAGCCTTCAGTAGTCGTCAGCAGCCATTCAGTAGTCATCAGCAGCTTCAGTAGTCGTCAGCAGCCATTCAGTAGTTGTCATCAGCCATTCAGTAGCCGTCAGCAGCCAATGAGCCATTCAGCAACCCAGCTGGATGCCAAATTCAAATCAAATATCTCTAAATCTAATCTCTAAGATTATTTATTATATATTAATTTCCAGAAAGCTAATCTGTGAAGAAAGCGATCGTCTGGGTGGGACAAAAGGGGCAGCCGAGGTGAAAGCGCACAAATGGTTTCAGGTGGGATTAGGCTGTAAGAAAGGCTGTAAGAATAGTTTTCGAAAATTTGTCAACTTTCTAGAAACTGCCGTATGATTTTGAATAGTTAAGCGCTTTTTTCAGGGAATCGATTTCAAAACCCTTCGCCAGCAGAAAGCCGAGTTTATCCCGCGAGTCGAACACGCCGAAGATACGAGGAATTTTGATACGATTGAGGTACGCAAAACGTTCAACTAGAGCCAAGGAATGGCTTTTTTTGACTAGCCTGGCTCCCTGGCTTCCTGGCTTCCTGGCTTCCTGGCTTCCTGGCTTCCTGGCCTACTACTAGAACGCTAGAACGGGCTAGAACGTACTTTAGAACGTACTTTAGAACGTACTTTAGAATGTACTTTAGAACGTACTTTAGAATGTACTTTAGAATGTACTTTAGAATGTACTTTAGAATGTACTTTAGAATGTACTTTAGAACGTACTTTAGAAGCCGTGAAGCTCCCTGGCTCCCTGGAAGCTCCCTGGCTTCCTGGCTTCCTGGCCTACTTTAGAACGTACTTTAGAACTTACTTTAGAACCTACTTTAGAACGTACTTTGCAACGTACTTTAGAACGTACTTTAGAACAAACTGGGTTCACTCGAGCTTGTTCTAAAGTACGATCTACCCACTACCAATAGACAAAGAAATCCTTTTCAATCAACTGCTAAAAATCAACTCTATCAACTTTCTGCTAGAAACACTCCCCTTCTGGCGGACTGAATTCTCTAAATTTAGGTAAACGAGAGTCCATTTGAGACGCTGAGCAAAGGGAAAGCTCCAAATAATCCAGCCTTTTTCGAGTTCACTTTTCGACACTTCTTTGACTACGATGGACAGGTGAGGCTTAGAATACTGTAGGATATCCAAAAGGATCAATAATAGTCAATAAGCGTTTTCTAAAACGTGTAAACTTGCTCTTTCTACCTTAGGAATTACCGTCTTTTTGCCATCACCATCACAGATAAACTTGCCGCTCTAATAACTTTCTTTCTAATAGTCAGAATTTTTTTTAGTTTTTGTTTTTTGGTTAGCTGGAATGCACACTATATTTTACAGAAATCAGATTTTTAATCTACCGATATTGCATTTTTACACCTACCTTGTAGTGCCATTTTTTAAAATCGATTTTCTAAAAATCTGAGTAATACCATTTTTTAAGTGCTATCCAACTAAGAAAAATCCAAAGTTTTATGAAAATCTGTCTACGAGAAAAAAAGTTAATAGGGTGAACATGTTTCTAGGCTAATAACTTTTTTTCTAATGGACAGAATTTTTTTTAGCTTTTGTTTTTTGCTTAGCTGGAATGCACACTATATTTTACAGAAATCAGATTTTTAATCTATCGATATTACATTTTTACTCCTGTAGAAAAAATGCAATACCGGTAGTGCAATGAGTAACGTTAAAATCGATTTTCTGAAAATCTCATCAATACAAATCTTTATGTGATATCCAACTAAGAAAAAGCCAAAGTTTCATTAAAATCTGTCTACTCTAAAAAAAGTTAATAGGATGAACACGTTTCCAGACTGTTTCTTCCATTTTTGAGTAGGCAGATTTTCATGAAACTCTTGCTTTTTCTTAGTTGGATAGCACATAAAAATTTGTATTGTTTTAAATTGGTTATTGTAGTTATCTGTAGTTATTGTTCTAGGGTTGTCCCAGCCTCCGTCCGCATCCAATCAAGCGTCCCTCATTGGCGCCATTGTTCGAGAATGGACATGCGAGTGGTGGCCCTTCAACATCATTCACTGCGAATTCAAATTCACAAGCGCGGAGCTCAACTCTTGGCTCGGTGACTCGATCCGCCCCATCGCAGCCATTTCGCAGCCTCGGCGGATTGCACAACACTCCATTGCACGAGGATGAGGACAGCGGCGAATCGTTTGTTGTTTAGGTAGAGAGTAGTCAGTTGTCCAATATTCTGCTTTAGTTATCGTATTCTTTCTGGATTACCATTTACGGATAAAAGGTGTTTTTTAAAAGATCTTTAGCCTAATTTTGATAGCCTCTTTGAGGCTCAGGGTTAGGCTTAGGCTCAGGATTAAGCTTTGTCTTAGGCTTAGGCTTAGCCTTAGACTTGACTTAGGCTCAAGCTCATGCTTGGACTCAGTCTTGACGAAGGTTGAGTCTAATTGGGTTTGGGATTTTCCGGTTGTTTTCTTTAGGGTTAGTTTTGGCTTAGGCTTAGGCTCAGGCTTAGGCTCAGGCTTAGGCTTTGGCTAGGCTTAGGCTTAGGCTCAGGCTTAGACTCAAGTTCAAGCTTAGGCTTAGGTTGGGCTTACACACAGGCTTAGGCTTAGCCTTGTCTTATTGTCTTATTTTGAAAGCCTCATCATGCAGATTGCTGGTAAAATTGAGTAGCCTTTACTCGTCTACTTCTACTTGTTCAACTTGACCTGTACTTTGTGCACAATTCTATAAACGCAGCTTTTTAGTGCACAGAGTTCTTCGTTTTCTGGCGACATCGTTGTTGAAAGAAAACTAAAGAAGTTGAGCTAGAGAGGGAGCAGAAATTTGACTCGAAAGTACGTCAAAAGTACGTCAAAAGTACGTCAAAAGTAATGTCAGAAAGAATACGGTAGCCAAAAGTTTACATTTACATTCACATTTACATTTACATTTACATTTAAAGTCTAATTCCCTTTTCTATTGTTAAGATATTCATCTTATGTTAATCTTATCAAAATCTCTCGAATAGTTATTTCATTTCTTTTCCAAAATCATCACGGGTTCACGGCGAGACGTTGTAGCTTTCAAAAACCCATTTTTTGCGGACTTTTTGCGGATTTCAAATATATTATGTATAGATTTAATAGTTTAAATCAGATTTAGCTTTTTTTTTTCAGTTATTTCTTTATTTTCAGTTATTTCTTTCAGCATAACAAATTCTATTGACTGTTTGCAAACAAAAAGCAAAGAAAAGCCATTTAATCTATTTCTTTCATCACATTTTCATCAGCTACTCAACCTTTTTTATTTTTGTTTTTTTTGTTTTATTTAATTTGTAAGTATTTTTCTGTGTTTTTTTTGTGTTTATTGTATTTTGTAATCATTGTTTTTGTGTTTTTGAGTTTTTCAGAGTGTTTTTCTTTGTGCTTTTTTGTTAAAAAGACACTTAAAACGGGGGTAATTTGTTAGTTCACATTTGATTAAATCAATTTTTGATTATTTGATTGATTTGGATCATTTGATTGATTTGGATCATTTGATTGATTGGATCATTTGATTGCTTTGGATCATTTGATTCCTTTGGATCATTTGATTGATCATTTGATTGGTTTGGATCATTTGATTGGTTTGGATCATTTGATTGCTTTGGATCATTTGATTGATTTGGATCATTTGATGGTTTTGGATCATTTGATTCCTTTGGATCATTTGATTCCTTTGGATCATTTGCTTCCTTTTAATCATTTGCTTCCTTTTAATCATTTGATTCCTTTGGATCATTTGCTTCCTTTTAATCATTTGATTCCTTTGGATCATTTGATTCCTTTGGATCATTTGATTGTTTTGGATCATTTGATTGATTTTGATCATTTGATTGATTTTAATCATTTGATTCCTTTGAATCATTTGATTGCCGTTTATTCATTGCCGGATAAGATCCATTTGATTCCCGGATAAGATGTGTCTCTATCCCATGGTTCAGGCAGAATATTTATTAAAGCACAGAAGGGTTTACATACAGAAAAGTTGAGGGGGAAATGTTTAGAAATGTCTATGTTTTGGCTAGCTTATGGCTGGGGAAATCGTGGAAAGATTTTGGAGGAAAAGGAGGCCTCACTTGTCCTCCTAGGCAATCCCAAGGCCTCACTTGTCCTCCTAGGCAATCCTAAGGCCTCACTTGTCCTCCTAGGCAATCCCAAGGACCGCCCCTTCTCGGCAATAAAAGGGATAAGCACAGGGGAGAACACATTTGCATAAGAATAGACAAATCATTCAATAATAACAATAGTAACTAAAATATCAGTTTGGCTCGGAGCTGACATTTGATTGATTTTGATCATTTGATCCTTTTAATCATTTGATTCCTTTTGTTCATTTGATCATTTAATTTCTAAGCATTCCTTTCTAAGCAGAAAGATTTCTTAAACGATCGAATGAAAAGAATGATCCAAAATCGAGCGCTATCAAATGGAAATTGACGGTTCGAATACGGTAGTTTGAGTGTATTTTAAAAAAAACGCAAAGAAAGACCGAATCTTTTCGATGAGCTCAATTTTCTATTCAATTTCTATCGAATTCTATCGAAAAAACTCGAGTCTTCTTGTGATATTTTCGAATTTTCAACTTTCACAGATTATAATATAATCTAATATTTAAATATAATTTAATAAATCCCTTTTTGTTGACGGCTTTCTTGATTTTATGCGATTCTAGACCAGCTTAGCGAGAGCGGGGAAATTTTTCAGACAGTCTACCTCGCTCTTCGATTTTTTTACTGACCATAGCTCTTTTGAGCATGAGATCTAGTTTCCCCGAAAGCCCTTATTCTAAGCTTCATTTTGATACTAAAGATGGCTAGGTTCGCTTTTGTCATTCTTTAGATTTGGATCAATCTTTCGGACTCGATAATCTTAACAAGTCCAGAAAAATTTCCATCTAAAATGATCCAAATCTAAAGAATGATAAAACAGAACCTAACCGTGTTTAGTATCAAAATGAAGCTTAGAATAAGGGCTTTCGGGTAAACTAGATCTCATGCTGGAAGGAGCTTTGGGTATTGAAAAATCGAAGACCGAGTCAGAGTGTCTGAGAATTTTGTCCGAGCTCGTTAAGCTGGTCTATGCTATTTTATTGCTGTGCCTGAGCCTGAACATTTGCTCAAGTCAATAAAAGATATTTATGAAAAATGCACTGTATCTTGGTGATCAGCGTCTGTTCTTTGTTCTAAATATCGTTTTTTAAAAAGTTTGGAATTCCCAATTTGGAAAATTACCGTAATGTTTCCTAGTCCAATTTACTGAATTTTGATTTCATTCGATTTATCGCTTGGTTTTTCATCAATTATAACTAAGTAAATCAAACAAATCATGAAAGCAAAAGATTATTTATGTACTCTGGCCGTACTCTGGCCGCTTTATCTTCAAACTACAGTATTTTGCCAACTTTTTAGAATAGACAATTGGGTTACACAATGGTTTGAAAATCGATTCTCTAAAAATTAGAAATCTGATCAATACAAATTTTTACATGCTATCCAACTAAGAAAAAGCCAAAGTTTTATGAAAATCTGTCTACGAGAAAAAAGTTAATAGAGTGAACACATTTCCAGGCTAATAAATTTTTTCCTAATGGCCAGAATTTTTTTAGTTTTTGTTTTTCGCTTAGCTGGAATGCACACTATATTTTACAGAAATCAGATTTTTAATCTACCGATATTGCATTTTTACTCCTTACCTTGTAGTGTCATGAGTAGTGTTAAAATCGATTTTCTGAAAATCTCATCAATACAAATCTTTATGTGATATCCAACTAAGAAAAAGCCAAAGTTTCATTAAAATCTGTCCACTGAAAAAAAAGTTAATAGGGTGAACAGTTTCTAGACTATTTCTTCCATTTTTGAGTAGACAGATTTTCATGAAACTCTTGCTTTTTCTTAGTTGGATAGCACATAAAAATTTGTATTGGTTTTAAATTGGTTATTGTAGTTATCTGTAGTTATTGTAGTTATTGTAGTTATTGTAGTTATTGTTCTAGGGTTGTCCCAGCCTCCGTCCGCATCCAATCAAGCGTCCCTCATTGGCGCCATTGTTCGAGAATGGACATGCGAGTGGTGGCCCTTCAATTTTAGGGCGTAGAATCGAAATTTTGACATATCAGAGCTTGTGGAAAAAAACGGACGGAGTTATACAAAGATCTAGCCGTTTTGTCTTTCAAATTGGTTCCACAAGCTCTGTTATGTCAAAATTTCGATTCTACGCCCTAAAATTACCTAGAAAAACAACTTTTGGAATAGAAATTGGTTAATATTAGCTTTTTAGAGCTTTTTTTAAAACGCGAAAAAGGTGCGCTAATGGGCAAGGTGCGCAAATGTCCGGGTGCGCAAAAAAAAGGTCGCATTTGTCCCTCTCCCGAATAATAAAAAACAAATGGACAACAATTTTTCTAAATCAATGATCAATTGCAAACCATTTAAAGAAGAAACTATAATTAAAAAAGGCTTTAAGCAAATGTAAATCATATCTGATCCAGTTTTTTTTCAAGTTTTTACCTATTTTTTATCTTAAACCTGGAAAAAATAGCCTGGAAACTGTTCACCTTCATAACTTTTTTTCTCGTAGACAGATTTTCATAAAACTTTGGATTATTCTTAGTTGGATAGCACCTAAAAAAATGGTATTGCTAGAAAATCGAATTTTTGGAAAATCGATTTTAACTTTACTCGTGGATCGTTGTGGGTAGTTTTTGGTAGTTGTGGGTCGCTGATTCAAGCCTATTTCTTGTTCTGTTTTGTAATTTGCAAATGAATTACGGTAATATTCATCTTTATACACAAAATGTGATAAATTTTGGTTTAAAAGAGTAAAGAAAAGTGAGAAAAAGCAAACAAAAGCAAATAAAAGCAATCTTTTTAAAGATATAGAAAATAAACAAAAATTGTGATCATCTCGAAGTCGAAATCACGTTGAGATCGGTTTTTGTGAAAAGTTATCGCAAAGATTTGCAAAAAAAAGAATTCAAATCTTTAAATGTAAATTGTAAAAATTTGCATTTAAAAGGGAAAAATTAGCATTTAAAAGCGAAAAATTAGCATTTAAAAGGGAAAAATTTACATTTAAAGAAATTCAAATTTTTAAATGTAAATCGTAAAAATTTGCATTTAAAAGGGAAAAATTTACATTTAAAAGGGAAAAATTTGCATTTAAAAGGGAAAAATTTACATTTAAAAGGGAAAAATTTACATTTAAAAGGGAAAAATTTACATTTAAAGAAATTCAAATTTTTAAATGTAAATTGTAAAAATTTGCATTTGAAAGGGAAAATTTGCATTGAAAAGCGAAAAATTTGCATTTAAAATAAAGAATATTATCACCGGAGGAAGTGAATTTCAGAAGAAATGGTCAATTTTTTTAAAAATTGAGCGAAATGAGCGAGCCGGGATTTTTAGGGGAAATTTTTGAGACCCCTCAGAATCGCCTCTCTGGTCTATTGGTAAAGCTCTAGACCCTCAGGCGACCGACGGCTCAAGGCCCGGGTTCGACCCCCCAAGCTGCTTGTTTTTCCTGCTTTTTGAAAAAAACTCTATTGAAATTGAATTTTCCCTGAAAAAACTCTATTGAAATTTTCCCTAAAAGATCCCAGGCTTCAATCTTCTCAAAAAATCCCAATGGATAAACTGAAAACATTGTTTGATCCGATTTTCAGCGAAGAAAAATACACGTAAAGGCATTATGCTAGAGGCACCAAATGGAAAATTGGGGAGAAGGGAATTAGAAAAAAAAATGGGGAAAACGTTAAACTGACTAGGAAGAATGGAAAACCAAATTGGATTTCCGCAAATATTTTCTACAAAAGACTCTAGGCACCCGTTTTTCTCGTCTAAAATCGCAGTGATTGGAAAAAAAATGAAGCGATTACTCGACTACAAATAGACTTTTTTCACTTTATAGTCTCTCGGTAAAGTGCAATTGTTGAGAGATGTGAGGACGGCATTTCGATCTCGCGATGGAGTGGTGAGTCCTGAGGCGGCACCTGAATGACTCATCGTCATCGCTGGGTGCATCGAGAGGACGAGTGAGGTCGCGTCGACGGAGTGCTGCAAAGTTGAATGGTTAGCTGTGTTTTTGAGCTCTTTTTACGTCTAACACTGCTAAGGATACTCTACTCTAGGAGGACTGTACTTTTCTCAATCTTTACGGTAACATATCGATTAACAGGCTTTGTCATCTCAGTGCATTAGACATCAAGATGCTAGACTAGACTAGCATTTATTGCTTAGGCCAGGCTAGGCCAGACTAGGCCAGGCTAGGCCAGACTAGGCCAGGCTAGGCCAGACTAGGCCAGGCTAGGCCAGACTAGGCCAGGCTAGGCCAGACTAGGCCAGGCTAGGCCAGACTAGGCCAGGCTAGGCCAGACTAGGCCAGGCTAGGCTAGGCTAGGCTAAAGCTAGGCTAAAGCTAGGCTAAAGTTAGGCCCAGGCTAGGCCAGGCTAGGCCAGACTAGGTCAGGCTAGGCCAGGCTAAGCCAGGCTAGGCTAGGCTAGGCTAAAGCTAGGCTAAAGTTAGGCCCAGGCTAGGCCAGGCTAGGCCAGACTAGGTCAGGCTAGGCCAGGCTAAGCCAGGCTAGGCTAAAGCTAGGCTCAGAGTCAGACTCAGGCTCAGTTTTGTACTGTCAAAATCAAAACGAGTACTGTACTCGGTTTGATTTAGGAAATGATAAAGCTATAGATCTACAGAGTGTCTCAAAAGTTCTCTATCAAATAACTTTTGGCAAAAAGGTTTTAATTTTTAGCTTAGCCAAGGAAATTTGATTTAAAAGAGATTAAAAAGATTTTAAAAGCCTTTTTTGCCGAACGAACCTTTTGCGGTGGTATTCCATATATTTGCTCAACTTTGTTCGTTGTCGTTAAACTGTCATGTCGAGTTAAACGAGCGGTTTGTCGCCCGAATGAGTCATAATCGGATCCTGATGTGCTCGACGATGAGTGATGCGCGTCGGCGAGAGCTCTCGCTCGTGAGATTCGGTAACCGATCTGGATTTGATTTTGATTTGAAGCTATTTCCATTCAACTTACCAGCACTCCAACGGCTCCAGCCAGAACAACACAAGAGATGCACGCGATCACGAGATGATTCGTCGTGTACATTCCACCACTCCCCGATGACGCGTAGTGCACTGGTGAGGCGTCTAAATGTTGAAAAAGCGATTATTCTGTAGAGTAAAGATCTCGCAAAATGCTTTTTTAAACTATTTTTTAACTATTTTAAAGCTTAAATAAGACAAGAAGAGCTTTCTTTTGAGATATAAAACAATTGGAGTCAGGAGAGAGTTCAGATTGTAAACTCTAAGGTCTGCTCAGTCGGATCTTAGAGTTTACAAGCCAGGCGGAAAGCTAGAATCTAACGAAGAGTTAGGAGAGAGTTCAGATCTAGATCTAGCTCAGGTCAGACTCCAGGGACAGGCTTGACTTCAGGCTCTAGGTTTAGGCCCAAGACTGACTTCTCAAGACTGACTTCTCAAGACTGACTTCTCAAGACTGACTTCCCAAGTCTGGCTTCCCAAGACTGACTTCTCAAGACTGACTTCACAAGACTGACTTCCCAAGACTGACTACTATAAAACAATTGGAACCAGGTCTGCTCAGTCAGATCTTAGAGTTTACAAGCCAGACGAAAAGCCAGGTAAAATCTAACGAAGAATTAGGAGAGAGTTCAGATCTAGATCAGGTGGGCAGGCTTGACTTCAGGCCTCCAGGGGCCTCCAGGGGCCTCCAGGGACAGACTTGACTTCAGGCTCCAGCTTCAGGCCCAAGACTGACTTCTGGTGGACCCATAACCAGTCCAGACTAGGCTATGACTTTCAGCTGATATTTTTCAAGAAGAGATCAATTCTAAAAGCTAGAAAATCCCACCATGAACATCGAAATCATCAGCGAGAAACGCCTCGGGACACTGCTCGCTTCGGCCGAGGAAAATATTTTGTACATAGCTTCCATCACTTCGCCATTGATCTCGAGGGACACATCTAAGAGGGAAATTGTTGCTTTTGCTCACTACAGTGATTTCTTCTCACCTAGCCGTTTGCAAGTCCCAGGCACAATGTGGATCTTGCAGATTGACACAATGAGAGCACGAGGATTGCAGCTCGCAGTTGTGCAATGGAATCAACGCCACCTGAAATGAGATTTTGTTTGAAAATCGCACAAATTGCTTGCTGATAATGTGAAATTGCATTGCAAATTGCAAATTTGAATTTAGGAAAATTAAGGCAGAATTTGTCAGCTTTGCAAATCAGCTTTGTTGTCAGCTTTGTTGTCAGCTTTGCTGTAAGCTTTGCTTTACCTCATCCGGTGTCACAACAGCGACATGTCCTTGCTGAGCTGCGGTCAAGAGATTAACGACTGGTGGACCACGTTGGAAAACTCGAACCGATTCGATTAAAGCCGTTTTTCCGCCATTGTCGACAATCTGAAGTGACAGTTTGAATATCTTTGCTTTTATCTTTCATTTTAGATTCAGCTATGGAATGCTAGCTAAAAATTGTTCAGCTAAAAACGCTAATGAATTCAAAAGAATGAAAAGAACGAAATGAACGGTAATGAAGCCTTTAAACGTTAAAAACTGAAGCCGAACGGTCGGAAAATGTAGCTGACGATGAGATCTAGTGGGAGATTAGAATGGAAAGTGTAGAGGGCTTCTGGGAAAACTTTGGAAGCCGTAAAAGCCGTAAGATAGCCATCAACTCCATAAACTCCATCAACTTGGAGAATACGGTATGTGCTCAGGCTTAGGTCTCGGTAAGTCTAACGTACGGTCCCGTACAGTCCTGGTAAGTCTAACGTCTCACTAGGCAAAGACCAATATTCTTATTCTTGTTCAGATTCTTATGCTCGATGCGCATACGTACTTTATCTGATTTTAGCCGATTTTTAAAATCCAAGATCTAGCTAAAGTTTTTAGAAAGTCAAAACATTAGAAAGTTTCCCTGAACTGAACAAAGCTTAGCTTACTTTGTAAAAAGGCTGAAAAGATTTGAGAAGATGTTTACGTTACATCCGATCTAGACTGATTCCTAGATCGGACGTCTGATCCGATTCCTAGATCCGATCGGATGTCCGATCTAAAGTGAATTGAGGTCAAACGTCCGATCTAGAATCAAGCCGATCATCCTAAATCTAAGTCTTGCATCGGTCCTTTCAAGTAATCAGCTTGATTCTAGATAGGACGTTTGACCTCACTTCACTCTAGATCGGACGTACATATATATAACAAACCTTGAGCACTCGTCCATCCGATGTTCCAACAAAAATCACATCGTGACGCTCGTTGGCCACTGAGGTGACTCCAGGCAAAACGGCGATTTGCGTTAAATCAGCTCTATCAGTCCCCTCGACGAGCAGTGGTTCACGAAGAGAGGAAATTGACTGAAATCTTGCTTTTGTTAATTGAATACATGAAAACAAAAGCTTGCTCACTCTTTTCGAAAGCTGAGCAAGCCGGGCAAGCTAGGCAAGCTGGGCAAGCTAGGCAAGCTGGGCAAGCCAGGCAAGCTGCTCAAAGCTTTGAGCAGCTTGCCCAGCTTGCCCAGCCCAGCTCAGCTACCGTAGGAGGCTTGTATTACGGTTACGCGTTTATAGATTTCTGTTAGAGATTGCCAACCTTGTGCAGTAGTGGATTTCTTAATGTGAATGAGATCGTTGCTTCAGGCAGTTTTGTCGAATCTGGCACACATGTGCCGGGTCTCGGCTTCGGGATCTCGCTTTTCGCGTACGGAGCCCACAAAGAGTTCACCGTTTTCTAAAGGATAAAATATAGATATTGGTATTTTAAAATTTATATTCTACTAAACATTCTTTTCCTCACGAGTCATTCCTCACGAGCCTTTTAGGCATTTGAGAAAACTATCGTTAGTTTATACCGTTAAACCATTCGTTTCCATCTAAAAAACCCGATTTTTATATTATTCGACAATCCTCAGTCAATTATATAAAAATTGAGCTGATTTAGTGTAAACTGGTGCTTTAACTACGGTAGTTTTCTCGAATAGGTCTCTTTTAGAAAACGCTATACATCATGGGCATAAGAAAATACAAACGTAAGCTACAAACGCTTTTAACTTGTCTCAAATCTGTTGGATTGACATGTTCTATAGCTCAAAAGATAGACAATCTTAAGAGCTTTTGAATGGTCTAAAGTAGATTGAAAAATAGCCATTCTACAGAAAGTTACATTGGCTTGTAGTCAAACGGACCGTACTCGCGCGTAGTCGACTACAAGTCAATGTAACTTTCTTTAGAATTGATGATTTTGAATCTACTTTAGACCATTCAAAAGCTCTTTAGATTCTCTATCTTTTGAGCTATAGAACATGTCAATCCGACAGATTTGAGGTAAGTTAGAAGCGTTTGTAGTATGAGAGGTCGTCATTTTTGTAGCTTATAGTGCTCATGTGATTCTCGTGCTAACAGATACCATATTTCGTTAAATATTACGGTAGCTTTTACGGTAATATTACGGTAGCTAAGTTTCTAGGTTCTAATATTGCTCACCTGATGCTTAAAAGTTCCATAAAGAAATTCGTCTCTGATCTTGTTCATCGAGAAAATGCAAATCGCTGACATGCGCACATGCGTTTCGGGAGTGGCAAAAACGGCATAGATGAGATGATCAGCCGCTGAGGGGATTGGCTCGGAAACAGATCCTGTAAGTAAAAAGATTTAGTTCTTAACAATTTCATAATTTCATGAACAATTTCATGAACTTCTCCATGAACTTCTCCATGAACTTCTCCATAAACCTCTCCATGAACTTCTCCATGAACTTCTCCATGAACATGATCTTCTTAAAACCCTAACAATCTTCTAAAGACTCTTTCTCAAATCCCAGCCATCAGATTGATGTACAATAATGTACAATAATGCTGTACTATGTACAATAATGTTGTACTTTGTGCAATAATGTTAATCTCTTTCATAATTATCATACTAAAATCTCAAAAAGATCTATGGTTTGCCTTTTGCAAAATTGTAAAAAAAGAAGAGGCTCATTACTTATTGAATGATCTAATACATTGCAAAACTCACTCAATTCATTGAAATAGAACGGCGATCCGGAGGGCAATGAACAATTGAGGCGAGCTTTCACAAATGATGTCCATTTCTCGTTAGCCGGCCTTGGGGCACCCTTGTCATTTCGGCAAACCCTGGCCACCCTGGCGTAGACCTGAATTTATTAGAAGATTAATATTTACTCGAATGTCTAATCTACTATATAAAAGGGGAGTGACTATTAGAGATGGGAAAGCGGATTGGATCGGGTTGGATTGGATCGGGTTGGATTGGATCGGGTTGGATTGGATTGGATCGGGTCAAATCGGTTCGAATCGGATCGGATCGCATTGGAACGGATTGGATCGGGTAAAACCGGGTCAAATCGGATCGGATAGCATTGGATCGGATTGGATCGGGTAAAACCGGGTCAAATCGGGTCAAATCGGATCGGATCGCATTGGATCGGATTAGATCGGGTCAAACCGGGTCAAATCGTTTCGAATCGGATCGGGTCAAATCGGATCGGATCGGATCGGGTCGGGTCGAATCGGATCGGGTATGGTCAAAACCGGTTTAACCCCGATCCGAGATTTTTTATTTTCGGGTTGGCCCAATCTGATCCAATCCGACAAAAGCTGACCCAATTCTAGTGTCTACCCGTCCGTCCATCCATCCATCCGTCCGTCCGTCCGTCCATCCATCCGTCCGTCCGTCCGTCCATCCATCCATCCATCCGTACGGGCAAATTCTCCGCTCCCCATTAGCCGATTTATATACTTCTTAGTTTGTTAGGCTTAGAATTCTATGTAGTTCTGCATCTCATCTTTCGTTTTTTTTAAAAAGCAAAAGTCATGATATAGCTGGGAGCCGAAATTGGATACTGTGGGCCGTAGACAAGCGCGGTCCTGACTGCGCCACGGCGACAAACGGTCTCGTCTCCAAAATATCCAGAAAAACCCGGCTTTTCAGCTGATTTTTAGATAAATGGCTCAGGCTTTGAAAGCCAAGCTTTTTAATTGGACTTTTCTACTGGTAATTGGATAGTTAAGCTTAAAAAGCTAAGCACTTTCTATCTACAGTAAGACGGGGGCTGAAATGTCGATAATTTTAGAAGGTTCTTGTTGTTGTTCTTGTTGAAAAATGATCTTAAATGCTAATTCTTACACTCTAAATCTAAGTTAGGATATTTAGAGATTAAATTTTGAAACTTATTGAATATTTCTGCGATTACCTGTCTCTCCTCATTGTTATCCATCGCTTCGGCGGCTCGCTCGCGATACCAAAAGTACACGTGCTCTTTGTAGGCGAATGAGGCGACAAAATTTGGAGCTAAATGAAAATACTGTTGAGAAAAAGAGTTCTCTTAGATACTGTACTGAAATTACAATCGTTTTCACTAGAAAATGCTTACAATCAAGCACTCGAACGTCGTCACGTTGCGTTCGAATCCCTTCATCTTTATCGGAGAGTCTTTTCCGGTAAATCAACGGATCGGAGCCGACAAAATCGGAGACAGTGCCTAGATAAAAATAAAATAAATCAAGAAAATAAAAAGAAAAAGCTCAAATCCTGTTTTCAGCTCTTGAATTCTTGTTTTCGGCTGTTTCCCGGGTTTTTGAACGAGTCGCCTTGCTTTGAAGGCCTATAACTTTGTCCAGAGACAATATTATTTCTAACATTTTATATCATTGAATAGAGAATATTTCAGGCTTTCAAATGACACCAAATAGAGCTTCATTCAATAATTGAGTCCAAGAAAATCCAGACAAAGCTATATGCCTTCAAAGCAAGGCGACCTGTTCAAAATCCCGGAAAACAGCCGAAAACAAGGATTGAAAAAATATAACTTTGTCTAGAGACAATATTATTTCTAACATTTTATATCATTGAATAGAGAATATTTCAGGCTTTTAAATGATAGCAAATACTATTTGATTGGATATTTCTTTCCTATACAAATCAGCCGACAAAACATCTGAGCTGGATAGGCCTCATTTGCTCGGTGTTTTTCTTGGACTCAATTATTGAATCAAGCTCTATTTAATATCATTTAAAAGCTTGAAATGTCCTCTATTCAATGATATAAAATGTTAGGAATAATATTGTCTCTGGACAAAGTTATAGATCTTCAAAGCAAGGCGACCCGGAAACCCAACCAGTTTTTTTTCTAAAACGTTTTCTTTTCTTTTTCTTTCTTTTTCTTTCTCTTTCTTTCTCTTTTTTTCTCTTTCTTGTTTTCTAAAACGTGTCTATTCTCTAAAACTACCGTAATCTGAATCTTTACCTGAATAAATTTCATCATTTTCGGGTAAATAGACAGCGGTAGAGTTGTCATTTGGATCATATGGGGAAATGGCCTGAAACCGGCATTTATTGATGTATATCAAAAGATATTATTATAGTAAATATGTAATTTTATTATAAAACTATCGATTATCCATTCTCTTTCACCTGTCCATCAAATTGTCGTACACTTCTCGGTTTCCCATCGCCTCCACCCGTCACATACTCTCTGCACATTGGCTTGAACGCGTGCGTGCCACAAATCAACATTTTCCCGTTAGCTGAAGAGGAAATCATTTAGTTGTTTTAAAATTGTTTTAAAAAGCTTTAAAGTCTTTATTGGTACAATAGATAAGTTGATTTTATTATGGAGTTATCGATTATCCATTTGAAACTGTTTCTAAGCCAAGCTCTGTCTAAGCCAGGCTCTGTCTAAGCCAGGCTCTGTCTAAGCCAGGCTCTGTCTAAGCCAGGCTCTGTCTAAGCCAGGCTCTGTCTAAGCCAGGCTCTGTCTAAGCCAGGCTCTGTCTAAGCCAGGCTCTGTCTAAGCCAGGCTCTGTCTAAGCCAGGCTCTGTCTAAGCCAGGCTCTGTCTAAGCCAGGCTCTGTCTAAGCCAGGCTCTGTCTAAGCCAGGCTCTGTCTAAGCCAGGCTCTGTCTAGGTCTCTTCCTTATCTTTCCTATTTCTTCTTGAGGAAAAAAGGCGCCGATGGCTCAGTGGTAAAGCTTGGTCAGGTCGACAAGAAGCTCGACAAGAAGCTCGACATTCTGGTCGAGAGTTCAATCCCCTTGGTTCCAAATTCTTTCTCATTCATTTCTTCACTGTCTTACTGTAGTAATAGCCTCGGTACAGAAAGGTTTAGATTACTACAACCCGCAATAGACGAAATAGACCACAAACCTACAAACCCAGTTAACCAGAAACCAAACCAGAAGCCAGTTCCAGGCCTGGCTTGACCCTAGGACCCGGTAGCTAGATCTAGATAGCTACTCACAATCATTACTGCAGCTAGATCTTAGACCAAACCTTGTCTCGCTAACACACGAATATAGTTCTCGCAATCTTGCTTGGCTTTCCCTTTCATCAAACACTCCTCAATCACCGTCGCTGGCGGAGCCCAATCAATTGTCTAAAGATGAATGAAATGAACACAAAATAGAGAGCTGAAAGCTTAGAAGCTTAAAAGCTTAAACAAAGCTTAGAAGCTTAAAAACTCACATGATGCACGTCAAGGTTGTTGAGGCTGAGGTTGTAGACAGCATTTCTGAAATATTTTTATATTTCTGTAAACAATCGTTTTGTTTTTTAATAGTTTAATAGTTTTTTTTAATGGTTCTGTATCGATTCCATTCTTGAATGGTTTCAGATTTCAGCTTGATTAAACAAATTTGCGACCTTTTCTAAACTCAGGCTTGGTTTAATATAAAGAAATTTTCTAAGCGCAGGCTTGGCTTAATATAAAGTAAAGCGTCACTACTTTAACCCAATGAATCGATTACCATCAGGTAAATAAAGATTTTAGATTCCTATCAAGATCTAAGCTGGCTCCGGTAGCCAGGGAACACTTTAGTGCTCAAATTCGTCTTCGGAAATGGTTTTCAAGTTGTAAACCCACTCAACAATATCAAGTGCAAGCCTCAAGGCTTTAAGCCTAAGCCTCAAAGCTTTAAGCCTAAGCCACAAAGCTTTAAGCCTAAGCCTCAAGGCTTTAAGCCTAAGCCTCAAGGCTTTAAGCCTAAGCCACAAAGCTTTAAGCCTAAGCCTCAAGGCTTTAAGCCTAAGCCTCAATGCTTTAAGCCTAAGCCTCAAAGCTTTAAGCCTAAGCTTCAATTCTTTGAGCCTAAGCCTCAATGCTTTAAAGAATAGCAAATTCTCCATCTAGCTTAACTTTTCTTAACTATATGCAAAGATCAATTTGCATATAGTTAATTTTGACGTCTCATAAATCCCCAGGCTGTATTTCAAGAGAAAATTGGGGCAATTCAAGGCCGAACGAGGAAATGGTCGAATTTCACGGGTCTCTAGAAAGAAAGAGAAAGAGAAAGAGAAAGAGAAAGAGGAAAAAGCTCGTTTGGAGATTTCCGTAAAAAAGTGCGCAAACATGGGATTTGATCCGAGAAAACGAAAGACGAGAAGGTGAAGGATCGTTGGATTTGATGGGATTTGATGGGATTTGATTATGGGAAAGGTAGACACCAAAAAAAAAAAAAAAAAACGAAAATGTTTGCCGGTAGCAGGGGTCGAACCTCCGACCTTTGGCTGATTAGACCAGGCTCTAACCGACTGAGCTAGGAGGGGGCGTCGTCCCTCCCCCCAGAAAGGGCGTTTTGACCGTTTTGATCATCAGAAAGACAATTTTCAATCAAAGTACACCCAAATCTGTCACTGGAATCAAACTTTTCTTCAAATCAAGCTTACTTTGAGCTAAAATCTGTGCAAACAGACCCTTTCTGATGCACTGGTTTCAATTTCCCCTTTGGTTTGCGTTTACAAGGTAAAAAACCCAAATTTACTATCACTTTTAAAGATATTCAATCTATAAGCTTGAAATTTTTCCAAATTTTTCCCCCAAAAGGTCAAATTTTGGTCTAGTATCGATATTTGTGTGGAACAATGCCCATATTTGTCATCAAGACTATTTGTTTTCTCTTCTTCGAGGCCCTATTTGCACACAAGACCCCAACAACAATCCAATAAAGGAAAAGATGATAACCCAATCCCCCATTCAAATGTGAGAAAACAAATTTTTGCATATCAATGGGGTACGCGATAATGGAAACCTTGGAAAGTGACAAGCCAAGAGATTCTAATCAGGACTTTACCTGAGCTCAACTAGAGATTCTAATGCCAGTAAACTTCGGTTGTCCTTACCATAGTGATTTAAAGATTTTCCACTGTTTCAAGACTGGAAATTTCGGTCTCAAAATGAAGCCTGGGTTTGATCGAGTTTTAGAGTCAACTCTGACTTTACCTGAGCTCAACTAGAGATTCTAATCAGGACTATATGGAAGCTGAAGTCCCATGCTCGTTCCTGGGTTTGAAGTTCAAGGGATTTAAAGGGTTTGAAGTCCAATTGGTAACCTTAGGGTTCTACTAGTGCCCTAGAGTTGGTCCTTGGGTTCTACTGAGTTTCTAGAGTTAACCTTAGGATTCTACTGGTGTCCTAGAGTTGGTCCTAGGGTTCTACTGAGTTTCTAGAGTTAACCCTAGGGTTCTACTGGTGTCCTAGGGTCCCATTGTGTTTCTAGAGTTAGCCCTAGGGCTCTACTGTGGTTCTAGAGTTAACCTTAGGGCTCTACTGGTGTCCTAGGGTCCCATTGTGTTTCTAGAGTTAATCTTAGGGCTCTATTGGTGTTCTACGATTTTGCTATGGTTCTAGAGTTAATCCTAGGGCTCTACTGTGTTTCTAGAGTTAACCTTAGGGCTCTACTGGTGTCCTAGGGTCCTACTGTAGTTCTAGAGTAAACTCTGAGTTCGATCGAATCATAAAGCCAACCCTGAGCTCTACTGGGGATCAGGATCAATCCTAGAGCTATAGCTGGAGTGCAGCCAACCCTGGACTCTACTGGGTCCCAACTATTAGACAATTAGACATTTACTATGTTTTGGTACTAGGTTATACTATGTACAAGCGTTTTATTTGGTACTTAAACTTTTATATAGCTCAATAGCTCACTTGGCTCCAACAAGCAGCGATTCACCATCCGTTTCCAACAACTTGAAATGGTCCGATGTTTGGGGGTTCTGTGCTCGGCCGCCGAACCTCGATACTTTGTCAGATGTGGCTGAAAGTTGAAATAAAGAATTGAAATTGAGGTTTTTGTTCGATTCTGTACTCATTCTCAGTTTTGTTCTTTAAAGTATGCACAAATTTGTAAACAAACGCTTTCTAGGGGACTGAATGCTAGAATTTCCTTCAGCAACAACCTCAACAAACTTCCACAACTCAACAATTGAAGAAAATTGATTGCAAAAAGCAAGCAAAAGTCTTCCCAAGTCTTCCCAAGCAATCTACTGACCCAATCCTAAATGAGAACCCATTTCTCACACCTCAGTCAACTAGTTGATGGGATAAAGACTGAGATAAGTGGGCGCACTTTTTTGTGACCTTGCTTTGTGTCACCTCCAGCTATCCAGTCACAATCCCCTCATTTCTCCAACTGTTTTTGGATAAATTGCTTTTTCAAGGCCTACTCTTGTTCCTAGCAAACTAGAGAGGCAAACTAGAGCGGCAAACTAGAGAGGCAAACTAGAGAGGCAAACCCAAGAGAGAATTTCTGGATGGATTACTGGGTCTTATTAACAAGATGAAATGATTTCCCTGACAACAGACTGATTCCTGGATGTTGAAAGAATGATTTATGGTTTAGAATGATCCTGGTTTACTAAACCTAACAACATTGGGATCAAACTTGGATTGTGTAAGCACGAGACGACACTTCTGGCACTGCTCCAGTCGGGGAACGGCAAGGGAAGCTTAGAATTAAATCCTAGAATATCTGGATGGGTTTAGCTGCTGGATTTATATGTACAGAAATCAAAAAGTACAGTACCACAAGTAGTACAGTACAGTACAGTACCACAAGTACTACAGTACAGTACCACAAGTATTACAATACAGTAATCCTGTGAAAGGGAGACAAATCCTGTGGAACTTGTTTAACAGTTAACAGCTTCAACTTGTAAAATGGGCATCGAAACGGCTTCAATGGAAAGATTTGACTCTAATAACTTCTATAGTAGACTTGAAACCTCTGTCGGCCCTTTTTTGCCCCTATTTAAAGTTTTTCGTGATTTTCCCAGCATAAACCCTGTCTATTTTGACTATTTTAACTATCATTCGATGGAGAATAAAATTTCGCGTCGAATGACACCAAAATCAACTGAAAATATAGTATCCATGCAAAGTTATGAAGCAATTTAAGATTTTTCTTGTTTTTCTCAGCATAAGCCCTTTGATTTTGACTATTTTAACTATCATTCGATGGAGAATAAAATTTCGCGTCGAATGATACCAAAATGAGCTTAAAATATAGTATCCATGCAAAGTTATGTGGCAAAAAACCTAAACCCCGTCCATTATAGCCGGGACTTAACTTTTTGCCACATAACTTTGCATGGATACTATATTTTCAGTTGGTTTTGGTGTCATTCGACGCGTAATTTTATTCTCCATCGAATGATCGTTAAAATAGCCAAAATAGAAGGGTTTATGCTGAGAAAAACACGAAAAACTTTAAATTGCGGGAAAAAAGAACCAACAGATGTCTTTGTTACAAGTTTAGTCATCTCTAAGTGTTCCAAAGCCATCAACTATATGATTCGGACTTAGATCTAAGCCCAAAACTTATTCCTTGATCCCCTAAATGTTTCAAGAAAGAGAATTCTAAGGTTTGGTCAGTCACACCTGGATGTAGATAGGATCTTGGAGGATCTGAGAGCGATCTCTCACCCCGTTCTCCTCGAATCTCTACATCTCCGAGAAGAGATCAAAACCTTCTTCTTTGCCTCTTTTGCATACATTGACACACACACACACACTCTTTTCGCTCTTTTTCAATTCTTTTTCCTTCTGCACCGAACACAGGCGATCTACAACGCCGATTAGCTGAGTTTAGCCTTTCACCCACCGGCCGATGTTTCCTTTTACCCCAGATTTTTTTTCTAGAAAGTGTAAGCGGATGTAAATGGTAGATCATTCCTGTTTCTTGATGTTTACCGGGCCAGACATACAATGGTTAAAATAGTGATCAAAATAGTGATCAAAATAGTGATCAAAATAGTGATCAAAATAGTGATCAAATAGTGGTTAAAATAGTGGCTAAAATAGTGATCAAAATAGTCATCAAATAGTGCGCAAAATAGTGATCAAAATTCTATCCACCTCAAAGTGATGCTAAAAAAAGTGGTACTGTTTTCAGAGGTTATAACTTTAGATGTAGACATCGTATCTACAAGTGCTATAGAGCATTTAAAAGCTCTCATTGAGCTCTACAAGATGTGCTATAACACTCAGAAATCGAGTAGCTTTCTTTCATGTTTAAGGCCTTGATTAAAATCCAACTTTTAGAGGGGGAAAATTGATTTTCAGGGTAATTTTCGAGTAATTAAGCCGCTTGAAATCGTTTTTGCACTACTTCGAATCGTTTTGAAATGATCTTCTTCGGAAAGAACATACAAATTCGGCTACTAGGTTACTGTAGCACTAAGTTCTTAGCATAGTTTTCGGATGTTTTTAAAGAATTTTGAACAGGTCGGGGATTTTGAACAGGTCGCCACGCTTTGAAGACCTATAACTTTGTCCAGAAATCATATTATTCCTAACTTTTTATATCATTGAATAGAGGATATTTCAGGCTTTCAAATGATACCAAATAGAGCTTGATTGGATAATCGAGTCCAAGAAAGTCATAGCCAACACTGGGCAAATGAGGCCTATCCAACTCGGCTGATTGTCGGCTGATTTGTATAGGAAAGAAATATCCAATCAAACGCTATTTGGTATCATTTGAAAGCCTAAAATGTTCTCTATTCAATGTTATAAAAAGTTAGGAATAATATTGTCTCTGGACAAAGTTATAGGCCTTCAAAGCAAGGCGACCCATTCAAAAACCCGGGAAACAGCCGAAAACAAGGATCGAAGACCTATAACTTTGTCCAGAAATCATATTATTCCTAACTTTTTATATCATTGAATAGAGGATATTTCAGGCTTTCAAATGATACCAAATAAAGCTTGATTGGATAATCGAGTCCAAGAAAATCATAACCAACACTGAGCAAATGAGGCCTCTCTTAGCTTTAGCTTCTTAGCTTTTCTTTATGCTTATATTTCCCTTTTGATCAACATCGTCCTTCTTTTTTCTATAAAAATCAAATCCATTTTTGTGTAATGCTTGAGGGAATTTGACAAAAAAATGGTGATATCTGTTGAAAAAATCTTCCCTAAACGATGAAAATTTCGCTTTTTAGCCTCTTTTTAAGGGTGTAAAGTGGTCTTATCAAAAAAAAAGAAACAGAAAAAGCCAAAGCAATCATTCCAAAGCATCGTAAGAACAATTTTTTTTCCTGCAAACTATAGTCTTACTGAACTTTTTGTTCAAATTCAAATGAATCCCTTTTAGTGCATTGAAATCTTGACTTTTCTTATGGAAAGCAAGCAGAAAAGAACACTTTTCAGCAAAAATAGGGAATTTGAGAGAATTCTATTCAAAGTACAAGGAGTATAAGAAGAACCAGTACAGGAAGAAACCTACCGTAAATACTGTAATAGTACCCCATTCCCATAATGACGGTGCAGTGTGTTGCGTAGTCCAGCTTTAGACGCGTTTCTCTCGACACTAGTTTATGCTATAATGCTCGCTTTGGATATCAAAAAATAGCCCTGAATTTCAGCTATTTTTTGATACCGAAGCAAGCATTGTAGCATAAACCAGTGTCGAGAAACACTCGTTCAAAGCTAGACTACGCTTCGTAGTCTTTGTAGTCCAGCTTTGGACGCGTTTCTCTCGACACTAGTTTATGCTATAATGCTCGCTTTGGTATCAAAAAATAGCCCTGAATTTTAGCTATTTTTTGATACCAAAGCGAGCATTATAGCATAAACCAGTGTCGAGAAAAACTCATTTAAAGCTAGACTACGAAACACTCCGCACCGTCATTATGCGGCTGGGGTAGTATTTACGGTAGCTTTAATCTAGAGAATCACCAGAATCACCAGAATCACTAGAACAGGATTATTTCTATTTTCTATTTTCTATTTAAGTCAATTTCTATTTAAGTATTTAGTATTCTATTTAAGTTTCTATTTTCAACTCACAATTATCTCGTTTACTTATTACCCTGGCTTTGTCGTTGGCTGAAATATTAGCAGAAAGGATGGAAAAGAGATGGATTTCCCTGGGGACCGTGTTGGACATGAAGACATGAAGATGGAAAAGAAATCGACAAGAAGACTTAGCTGGAAAAGACCCAGCCGAGCTTTACCCCAATAATGGCCATCATTGGGATCTCCCTAGAGGAAAGAGGGTACAGAAAAATGAGAAAACAGAAAAACTTGTTCAAAATCTTACAATAACTAGTATTAGCTGAGTAAAAGTAAAAGGTAACTGCAATAATTGCAATAACTGCAATAACTTGCAATTAGTGCTTTTGATTGGTTACAAGGTAGACAGAAGATTTCAAGCTCAACCTAATTCCAGCCTAACTCCAGCTAACTCCAGCCTAATTCCAGCTAATTCCAGCCTAATTCCAGCTTCGTTTTCTCAGCCGTCACTTGGCCAATTCCTCTGAAATTTTGTCTACAAGCAGAGAATACTCGTGGTCAACAACGATCTCTAGTTAATCAACAACGATCCCTAGTTAATCACCAACGATCCCTAGTTAATCAGCAACGATCCCTAGTTAATCAACAACAATCCCTAGTTAATCCCCAACGATCCCTAGTTAATCAGCAACAATCCCTAGTTAATCAACAACGATCCCTAGTTAATCCCCAACGATCCCTAGTTAATCAGCAACGATCCCTAGTTAATCAGCAACGATCTCTAGTTAATCTCCAACGATCCGTAGTTAATCCCCAACGATCCCTAGTCATCAACAACGATCTCTAGTTAATCAACAACGATCCCTAGTTAATCAACAACGATCCCTAGTCAATCCGCAACGATCCCTAGTTAATCAACAAAGATCTCTAGCTAATCAACAACGATCCCTGGTTTGAATCGTGTTTATTTTGAAGACAATGTAGAATATCAAATTCTTAACCAAATTTTTGTTAATTTCCTTTGAATCTTGTCTTGTTTAAATGGAAATTTGTCCTTTTTTCCCATTTTTTTCATTTTTTTCCTTTTCCTCTAAACTGGCTCTTATCCAAAAACGTTTTTTTCTTCAATGATTCATCGAAATTTCAATCATTTCACAAAGCGACATTTCCAAAAAACAATTCGTCATCCGAAATGAAGAAATAGAATATATTTTTGTTTAGTAATGAAAGAAAGAGAAATGTTTCTGTTTACAATGAGTTGGAGTGAGTAATCGAT